TACTCAAAATAGGCAAGACATAGAATCAACCTAAATGTCCATCAATGGTAGACTGAATAAAGAAAACGTGGTACACACCATGAAATACTATGCAGCCATAAAAAAGAATGAAATCATGTCCTTTGCAGAAACATGGATGGAGCTGGAGGCCATTATCTTTAGCAAACTAACGCAGGAACAGAAAATCAAGTACTCCATGTTCTCACTTAAAAGTGGGAGTTAAATTATGAGAACACATGGACAAAAAGGGGGAAACAAGAGACATTGGGGCCTACCTGAGGGAGAAGGGTGAAAGAGGAGCAGAAAAAATAACTATTGGGTACTATACTTAGTACCTGGGTCACAAAATAATCTGTGCAACAAACCCGTGACACAAGTTTACCTATAAACAGATCTGCACATATACTCCTGAACCCAAAATAAAAATTTGAAAAAAATATGCACATTTTGACCTGCAAATCTCACTTCTTGCAGAAGTAGTATTCATACATGTGCAGGGTTATTTGCATAATGATATTCATAACAGCATGTTTAATAGTGAAAAGTTGGACATTAACCAGAGAAATGATTAAATGAAGTATGGCATATTTTTATGTACAAATACTATACAATACTTTAGAACGCAGGTTGGCAAATTATGACCCACAAGCCAACTTCAGCCTATTTTTCTTTTGGAGTTTTGTTTGGCATAGGCATCCAAAAGGGCAAAGAAGTGTCTGGATCCACCATAGGATTTCTCTCTTTGCCTTATAGCACCCCTGGTCCCTCCACCATCTCCTTGCTGAAGACACATGTTCTGCTAAGTCAAGGAGGAACACTCAATCTGATTCTCTACCATTTTTACTGGTACTGTTTCCTTCCAATGATGAGGGTAGAGATGGAGTGACCCATTATTTGATTTTTAATGAGCTTGCACATTTTGCCATGTTAGTTTCTATTGTGTTTTCTCTTTTGAGGATGTCAAGATGTAAGTTAGACTTACTGGTTTCAAATACTGTAACTTATTTAACATAACTATATAAATATACTTAAGTATAACTTAATATAAATTTATATATACTTCATATGTATATAAATTTATAACAACATAAATAGTTACTTATGGTAACATTTTTCCTTACTTTTGATATTTCAACAAAAGATAGTTAACTTCAAGAATAATTTGACAATACTAATTAATAGTCTTGAACAGTCTCCTCCCCTCAAAATGTATTTTTCCCCCAGCTAATTATAAATGCTTATCCTATGAAATGCTAAGAATTGGAAACTTAAAATCTTCACGCCAAATCATATCTTTGGCAAATTCATCTAAATCACAGGAAGCTTTCTAAAAGTATATGCTGAATGTCTCTCCCCTGCTAAAACTAGTTTACAGTCTTGAGTTACAAAGAGGTAGAAGTCATTGGTGGCTGTGCCCGGCCAGCTAGCAAGAAATCAATTATTTAATTCTTGAATGAAGTCCCTTCTTTCTCTCTAGGCAAACCATCAATGTTTATATATTATTAAACTATTCTTGTATAGTACTTCACAGCTTACAAAGTGCTTTCCTATACATTACCCCATCTGTCCAGTGACCTTGTAGTAGGGTCAAAGAGAAAATTCTGTGTGAACAACTGTCTCACAGATGTTAAATGATTTGTCTAGGAACACAAGTGGCAAATGTCAAAGAAGAAATTCAAATTCTCCCTCTCAGAAACATCTAAGTATTCATTTTAAGTAGTTCAAAGATGTCTGTTTCCTCTTTTTAACTGCCTTTTATTAAATGGCATCAGAGAAATATTCTCTCCCTTGAAAATAAATGAGTGTCAACTGTTTGAGATTTCTATTTATGGTTTTAATGACAGCAATGACTAAAAAATGCTGCTAGAGGGAGACAGAGAAATAGCCTCAAAACTTGCATTACATCTCACAAAGAGGACACCAATCTATTTAGGTTTGTATGACCAAAACCTGCCTGTAATCTGATTCTCCTTCCCCAAATATTTGAAACTAATTTGTCAGAAAGTCATAATATTAAAGAACCACAGAAATATACAGTGTCCAAATGAGACCAAAAAAAAAATCAAAGAAACTCAATCAATAGTAATACTATAAATATATAGGCATTGTTTTAAAAACCAACTCTAAAATGTTGCCTTTCTGAATTGCTGATGACACTATTGAAAACACACCTTTTAAGGTAAGTCAGAAAATAAGTGAGAGTGGGTATGTTTTCCTTACCACTCCTCCCACCCAAAAATATTACTAAGTGATTCTTCAAAAAATAGAAGGACAATTTACATGGAGTCCTTAGGATACGGTTGAGTATAATTAGAGTAGCTTTAAAAAAAAATGAAAACATGACAAGAAACTAAAACTAGTAATCAATGACTTCAAGTACAAAAAATAAATAAATTAGTTCACTTAATGATACTGGAGCACTATTGGTTTTGTTCCAGGATTAAAATGAAATACTAAAAGAACACTGCATCTGCTACTCCTATCTTCATCTAATAGCCTATAGGTGACCTCTTTCAATATACTAAGTTACATAGACATCTGATATACAGACAGAAAAGGCAGGCTAAAATTAACAAAATAACAAGCCTGATTGAATAACTGTCAAGCATATTTTTAATCATCCGTCACTTTAAAAGGTAGTTTTTTTTTTTTTTTTACAAGTCTATACTCTTAGAATTTAGGGTACAAGGCATGGCCTGCAGTTTCAACAATATTCATAGATAAGGGGAAAGAAAAGACCGAGGTAGATCCCTAGAGATAGAATACATTAGTAGATCCATGTTGAGAAGAGTAATCTAAATCATCTGTATACATATGTGAGAAGCCTCAAGTTTTGAGGTCAAAGGGAACAAGATCTTACCCTTTCTTTCCATGAGATGTTAATTCTCTCATTTTCTACCCTCTTCACCCCTCCCTCTAACTCTTTTTATCTTGTATGTCACTTGATTCTTCTACCTCTTCTTGTCTTCCCAAATCTTCCCTTCCCCTAATTTATAATAATTGAAGAAATTATTTTTTTTCTTTACAATTGTATGATTTTGCCTTCAACTATATACTTCTAGGACTTCAAGCTGAAGAACTTGGGCAGTAGAAAAATTGTTGAAGTCAATCAAAAAATCAATCAGAACACTGAACTCCAGCTCTGCTACTACCTATTTTTGTGACTAGGGGCAAATAATCTTTGGGGGAAAAAGAAGGAACCCTACTAAATATTCTTATCCAAAATTTAGACTTACAGTTAACAATATAAATTAGTAAACTATGAGTTACTTAATATAAAGTAGGTACTTTGTGGTTTTTTGACATGTCAAGATGCAAAATTAAAATGGATGAGCTTACCCAAGACATTCACCTTATTGTTGTTGTTCAAATTTCAACTTTTTCAAAAAGTTGATTTATTCAAATAAGTATACAAAGGTAACACTTGCATTTTTGTGTTTCTTAAATCTTGTAAAAGTCCCTCCTCCTTTTCCCTACAACTTGTTAAAGAAAACCGAGTCATTTATCCTGTAGAATTGCCTGTTCAGAATTTTGTTGACTGCGCCCCCATGGTGGTTCTTTAATGTGTTCCTTTGTGCTGTTCACTCTCCATTTACAGATAGGTGTAGGAGCTTGATTCGATTCAGGGGTTTTGTACTTTGCCCAAACACTTCATAGGTGGTGCTGGGTACCTGCTGAGTCTTATCAGAAGGCACATTACTGTAAGATTGACCAGTGGGTTCAGGTATTGCCATTCTCATCTATCCTTACAAGGTTTCTCATCAGCTTTTCAACTAATACTCTCTGAAGCCATTGATGATCATTGCTTAGATTTGTCAATTTAACAGAATTGAAAAACAGCGATATTCTAACACTTCTTCTGCATTTGTTAATTGCAATAATTCTATGTAGTCAACAAAATTTTCCCTTCATAATTTGATCATCCTGAGATAAGGCAGGATAAATGCTTCTTCTTCTCCAAGTTAGCAGTTTTCAGAATGATTTTTTCAATATCCTTTCAAAGGTTATCGAGGTAGTTTGCTGTTTGTGGTTGCTGGTTTTAGTAGCATTTTGAATGCATAGGTTTACATATTTATAATAGCATGTTGGAATCAATTTCAGTTATTACTCTTACTGATCATGAAATTACTCCGTCTATACAGCCAGTGGTTCAGAATCCCTGTAGTGGATCCAGTGTTTCTGAGAAAAACAATGGTGTTTAAGTTTTCCTCCTTTGGTGATACTGAGTTTGTACTGTAATTTTTTAGATGTAAAATAATATTGTAAGACCAGAGCAGTGGCTCACGCCTGTAATCCCAGCACTTTGGGAGGCCTAGGCAGGCAGATCACTTGAGGTAAGGAGTTTGAGACCAGCCTGGCCAACATGGAGAAACCCGTCTCTACAAAAAATATAAAAATTAGCCGGGCGTGGTGGTGGGCGCGCCTGTAATCCCAGCTACTCAGGAGGCTGAGGTACAAGAATCGCTTGAACCCAGGAAGCAGAGGTTGCCGTGAGCCGAGATCGTGCCACTGCACTCCAGCCTGGGTGACAAAGCGAGACTCAGTCTCAAAAAAAAAAAAAAAAAAATAGTATTGTGTTTTACTAGGAGAAAATGCCTAATATAAATCTAATGATACATCTCAGATGTGCTTCAAAATAAGCTGGAAGCAAGTAGTTTAGAGATTAAACTAGTTTGGCCACATGTTTTTAACTTTTGAAGTTAGTGTAATGATAGTTATACTACTGTTCATTATGTTATTCTCTTGCATACATTTGAAAATTTCCATAATGAGGTTTTTTTTTTTTTAATTCCATTTTAGTGGTAAAAATTTTTTAAAAACTCACTACTACAGAAAAAGGAAACACACACAACCTTAAAGCCCGGTGTACAACCAATCAGTAGTTCCCTCAAAATTCTAATTAAAGTGCATGCAAGAGGAAACTAGTAACTTATCTACTCAAACTTACTTTCCACTCAAGAAAAATGTGAATATCTGAAATTAAGAAATAGTCTGAAAAGTGTCATTCTTAAAGTATTCTTTATTAAGATCATTAAAAGTTGTAGAAACAACTTCATATTATAAAGGCACAGGGAGACAGTTTGATAAAATATTCAAATTAACAGTAACTTACAGTACAAAAGACAATTTTAATGCACATACAAACCCCAAATGTCTGATTCAAAAATATTTTACTGCGTCTATTAATGGGCAATGATTAAAAATATAAATTGCTGCCATATAATAAATATCTGATAGTGAACTTCTTGATAGCAAAGTGAACAAAATATTTATTGCTTTTCACTTACATATTTTTCCCTGTAATTTTAAATTCCTAATTCTTTTACTATCTTCTCAACTTTTCCCAAAGATAAAATAAATTTCACATAATTTCATGGAGGGGAAATGGTAGTTATTAAAAACTACCTCAAGTAGCAATCACTGCTGGCAGTGTTTTCTCACTTTCTGTTCTGCAATTGCAATCACATTTCCAAAAAGAAAAGCAAATGTTTGCTAAACCATAGACAGACAACCTCTTTGTGACTGGTATTGTAAGGTTTATAATGAAAACTTATCAAATATAAAAGGTGCTCCCTTTTCAAAATGTGTATTTTATTTGAAGTTTTGAGTAAGAGGTGTTTGGCAATTTTAGCTACTCCCCTCAAAAATCTCCCAAAGTTGCAAAAGAGTCAGTTTAGTAAAATTCCAAGCACTTAAATGTTTCATTGAGGGCCAGTTGATATATGCAATGCACTAATATGTAAAAATTAACATAATGCAACTATTTTATAATGGAGAGCTCCTTACCTTTTCCTTCCACTTTTTAAACTGGAATTAACTTTATTGACTTCATCCTCCTATTTTTATAGCAACCTAGTTTTAGATGGTACAAGTTGAATTTCTATCACAAGACAATAAAATAACATGAATGCATTATCCTAGTTAATGCTATTTCAACTTAAGAAATATGTACATTGAAGTATTTGATAATAATTGTAAAGTTACTTAACCGTATGTCATGTTCAGACAGTATGTAGCAGCTAGTAACGTGCCTGGCACTGAGTTGATGCTTAATAAATAGTTGCTGAATAAATGAAAAAGAAAAACGTGGCTTTGGTTGTGCATACTTTAATCACTTTCTGATTTAGAAAAAGATCAGTCTAGAGCTCACTACTGCACACTACATCAAATTTTGCTGTAAACAAAAGTAACAACTTCAAACAGAAAAATATTACCTGTTAGTGATAGTCAACTTACATACCGTAACATTTTTTAAAGAGCCCACACATTTCTATGCAAATAATTAAATTTGATGTTTTGATGTTTAACCATTAGGTAAAGAAGACCAAAGTGGGCTGACTGGCTAACTTGTCTGCTTTACAGTAATAATGATTACTTCCTCAACAAATAAAAGGTTATGATGCCCAATTAAATTCAAACAATGGCTACCATGTTACTTTTGCAAAACTACCTACTAGTAAAAGGTAGGATAACTTTAAATTACTTAAAAGCAGTAGTTTAACTTTCAACAGAAAGAATCATCAGGAAGATCTGAATTTAATAATGACAGAGCTAGAAAACTGGAAGTAGGGTGGTAAGAATAAGTAGGTGACCAATTCTATTTTAAATTCTAAACATGAGACTAGCTGTAAGATTTCTTTGGCATATGCATTACTATCTTGGACTAGTTAACACTTTTTAGATACTGGGTTGTATTTTTTTTCTGAATCAAAATTAACATCAAGATACAGATTCTAGTATATTCTTCTTAAAGTCTTTAGTAAAAGATAAATGACATTTTGCAACATATGCCAAACTTCATGTTTAGTGTATACTTGTAATTATTGGCATAGAGGGATGTAACTGTTAAATAACCTGAAATGATACCATGCAATGGTGAAACTATATAAGGTGGTGAAAAGAAGTATTTACATAATATAATATTTAGCTTTCTTTAAAAAAAACACACACACAGTAAACCTGGGAATCCTGCCCTAACAGTAAATACGTACCAAATAGCACTGAATGAGAACTAGTAAAAATTTAAATGAACACCTACAGTAACCTGAATTTTCAAAATTTAATTTAAAAGAAAAACAAAAATGGGAAAAAACCCTACACATCAGAAGGAAAAAGCGGCCTATAAAACAGGCCAATCTGACTTGACATTCAAAGTAAATGCAAGAGATTCACAAAATCATGATAGTAAATGCAAACTAAGTACCAAGTACCCTTTGATACACAAGTCAATGTACTATCAGACTCATTTCCAATAGCTTAACAATATTCATTAATCCACTCAAGCATTCCGGTGTAGCGGGGAGCAGCTGATGACAGCTCAAGCCTCCAAAGTATAAGAACATACTTATTTGCAGAAGCATCATGTGATTTTTGAAGTAATGTCTTATTTTGATGGATGTTAACATTAAGATCTATCAGTGCAAGTTTATCATCCTCTGAATGTAACACTTCCAAATTTCATTTTTTCAGATAGTTTTTTGGTGGTTTAGTTTTAGCCAGTGCTGTTTAAATGAAGGAAAAAAGAAAAGGTCACCATAGACTACCTCACGTTGTTACTTAATTGTGCTAGGTATTCACGCAGTTCTTTTGCAGCCTGGAATCTGCCATAGCGCTTCTTTGGGTTGGCACACTCATCCAGCAAGGCCTCGAGCCGGCCATCTTTGGCAATTTCACTTGGTGGATCATGAAGGAGTCCTCCAGAAGTGCCACGCCAGGTGGCATGTCTGGATAAGAGGTTCTGACAAACAGCATAGTAATTGTGGTCCACAGTGGCACGAGCACAAAGAATTTCTTTTGAAAATGATAAGCAAGCCTCCTTATCACAGTCATCAAACTTGCTTTCATACCATACATCCCAATTTTCAGGTTTATCTGTGAAAGGAGGAAAAGCAGAAGTAGAAAAAAAATGTTTTAAATAGTTTTCATTGCTTCCAAAAATAGAATATTTCACTAATTAATAGTATTTGTTCTACACTTTTAGGTAAAAGTATATTATAACTTTAAACATTTAAATATATAAATTCATACAAACATTCACTGAGAGCCCACCAACGCTAGGCAGAAAGATTCAAAAAGGTCCCTACCACTTACAGGTTTAGTCTAGTGACTTTCCATGGTACACAGAAAGTGCCATAAAGAAAATGACACAATGCTACAGGAATAGTGGGGAATTCGCACTTATCCCTGGGGCTGTAGAAGACTGCAAAAAGGAGAACATCTGATTTAGGTCTTAAAAGTAACAAATCTGAAAAGAAACTAGGAAAAATAGCACTCTAGGTTCAGGACACAGTATATGCAAAGGCATGGACTTAAGAGATTGGTCCATTTGATTGACGAGGCAATAAGTTCACTGTGGCTACAGTATGAGAAAGGTAGTTGGCAAGGAGATACAGGTGATGCTAGAGAAATAGGTCGTAACTTGTGTAATCATGACCATAATTTATTTTATAGAAAGATAACTGTGGCCTGAAGACTGGAAGGATTAAGACCATGACAGCAACTATAGAGGGCCCAGAATGAAAAGCTAGATTGGGGAAACATTTCAGGTAAAAATAAGTAAGTATATGGGTAAAGTTTAAGGTTCTAATTGGATGACAAGGTATGTACAATTGCATAATAGTGTCAATATTTTATATATAGACAACATAAATATAAAGGAGCTATAAGGTATCAGGTGGGCATGTCATATGTGCAACTAGAACTAGACTTGACACATGAGTTTGAGATAAGAGGGATAATAGGCATATTGAGAACACATAAGCACACATGTACTTGAAGGAGCCAAGGCTTGAAAAACAAATAGCTAGCTGTATATGGAAGGAAGAGACATTTTTGGAAGAGGAAACTGCATATGGGAATACCCAGAAGTGGGCCAATTCATTCAGGAAAACAAAAGACCATTGTAGCAGAAGCACTGAGGGCAATAGACAGAGGGGTATTAAAAATGAAACACTCGAAAAATACATACATACATAAGGCTGGGCGGGGTGGGCTCACATTTGTAATCCCAGCACTTTGAGAGGCGAAGGTGGGAGGACTGCTTGAGCCCACAAGTTTGAGACCAGTCTGGGCAACACAGCAAGATCCCACCTTTACAAAAAATAAAAAAATTAGCCAGGCATGGTGGTGTATGCCTGTAGTCCCAGCTACTTGGGAGGCTGAGGCAGGAGGATCACTTGAGTCAGGGAGGTCGAGGCTGCACTGAGCCGTGATCATGCCACTGCACTTCAGCCTGGGTGACAGAGAGCCTGTCTCAAAAAAGAAAAAAAAAAGAAAAAAAAGAATCAGAAGAGGGCCAAGTCACACAGATTACAGATTATGCCCTGGTAAGGTGTTTGGATTGTACTTCAAGAACAATGGGAAGTCATTAAAACCATTTAGACAAAGGAGTAGTAAGATTAATGTTTTTTTAGGGTTACTATTCCAAAGGAGGAAAAAACTTCAAGAAGTTGATACTAGTCAAAATCACTTCACAAATTTGCCAATTAGGTGGTTGCTAATGGCAAGGCAGAGGTCTATGTCAGGTTTTAATGGACTAAGGAATGAACAGAGGCTGAGGAAGCAGAAAGGCAATAAATACTTTTAAATAAAACAGTGGACAAGCAAGGAGAAGCAGAAGAGAATCTTATATATACTTTTTATAGGGAGGCAAAAGAAACGTTGGATATTAAAGGAAGGAGGTGGGACACTGAAGAAGGTAACTGATGTAACAAATTCTCAAAGAAGAATCTATCTGAAAAAGAAAGACCAATGTGTGTTGTTTTAATGAGGTTTAGACAATAAAGGACACTGAGGGATTTGCCACAGCAAAATCTCAATTTCCCTGTGAAGAAATAAAATAAAGGCAATTTACTAGAAAGTGGAAAGAAAAGGGAGTGAATGAATAGACAGAGGCTTTTGCAAAGTGGCTACTTAGAGGACCCATGAGACATTTGAAAAGAAATGACCACACTTAAAGTAGCACTAGAGCAATGCTCGCTCACTGTATGAAATGCAAGAATACAGAAGCTATATGGTTGGATTCATCTAAGGTCAGGAATTAGTAATAATTATTCCAGGAATGTCTGCATAAAATGAATTATAAAAAAATTATTTTTATAAACACTGAAATAATTTTTTAAGCTTAGGAAAATTGCACTCTATGAATATAATAAAAACCACCTGCTTGTGTACACTTTAAAAAAGAAAGCATAGTATACGCTGCTACAATATTCACAAATGTAGGAAGAGGTAAATAGAGAGTAGAATATTTCAGCAGGATGTTCACCTCCCATAGGAGGATCTACGGGGCAAGTCAATAAATAATCAGAAAATAGTCTGGTAAGTATAAAATCTGAACAAAGGGGTGGGAAAATCAAGTATTTAATAGGATCATGCTAAGATCATGCAAAAAGTAAATGTCAACCTAATATATGGCTGTCACATAAACTTTTCCCCAGGTGCCACAAATTTTCAGCCTTTGTCAAAAGATATTCATATTACTTTTATCAGGGGGAAAGAAGGAATTAAAAAATATAAAACCCTCACCCTTTGGTTTTTCTAACTGAATTGGTTCTAGACCTACAGGCTTTGTCCCTGACGCTTTAAAACTTCCATGGCATTTAATTTTCAAAACACTTCAGACACTATCCATCTATCCTGTGAAGAACTCAAAAACAAACGGAGAGCAAAGTTTTGGGTGAGATGTAATAATCAGAATATCAAACCAAACTCACAGCTGCAGTGCCAGGAATCACCAAAATGGTTAAATAAAGTACAAACCATATTTCAAGAACCCATACGACCATTCTGTTTTTCACTTTCAGTACAGAATTCAACATATTACATGAATATAATTATATTCAACAGTTTATTATAAAATAAGTTTTACTTTATGCAATTTCCCCCAACTGTAGGCTAATGTAAGTGCTCTCAGTATGTTTAAGGTAGGCGAGGCTAAGCTATGATGCCCTATATGTTAGATGTATTTCAAATAACAATATTTTCAACGTAGACTGGGTTTATCAAGATGTAACCCCCTAGTAAGTCAAAGAGTATCTGTATTCGTTTATTGACAGTGGTTATATAAAGCAAAGAAAGACGTGTAAAGTTGCCATCTAAGGAGGAAATTCAAGGCTCATTTCATACAAGTATAAACATTATATTGACATAGGAAAAAATGAGTAGAAAAAAATCTAAAAACTATATACTTACTTTGTCTAATTAATCTTTTGTCAGCAACCAAAACATTTTCAGCATCCACAATGATTACCTTCCCATCTCTAGGACCAACTGCAAAATTGTCAAAGCTGACGTCCAGGAGGTAGAGTGCAAATTCAAAGTCATTGTTTGTAAGCTGTTCTGCTATTTCCATTAATTGCCAAGCGAGGTCAACTCGTTTCTCCCATGGAGCATTAAAGTAACTCCACAGTTCTTCTCCAACATAATTTACAGCCACCATTCTTCCACAAGCTCCAAGATACTTTGCAAATGGCCAACCTTCATCAGACGGAAAACTCTACAAAAGAATTATCTTAATATTACAAGAGATTCTGATGAATATATCCTAGGTCTATCCTCAGATCCTTTCAGTAGAAATTGCTACTAGGAATGACTTTGGATTTTCTTACTACATTTGACAGTTTATTAGAGATTAAATTCATTTTTTCCTAATTCATACCAGTACTATGGACCTGAAAAATATTTAAATAGAGAACTTTACACTATAAAGCTGAAATAGGATGACAAGTCTTGCTTATCAAAATCTAAGAACCACATTGATCAATAAGAGGGAAGATACTGTCTTTATTACCAAATCTGAAAGTATTTACGCTTTCCCTTATCTTCTTCACTTGTGTAAATGTAGTCAACCAATCCTTTTATTTAAACCGATAGCACTGCAGCCTATTAACCAGCAGTTATTTACCAGGCATCAGGAACTGTGTTATGGTGGCAATTAAGGGTGAACCAAACAGTCTCCATTTAGCCATGGGCTTTTATTTTAGAAGAGCATGCAGACACCAAACAAATACGAATATGAAAAGTGTTAGTTACTAAGCAGCGGTGCAGGTCCCAGGGGAGCATTTAGCAGGGGCCTTACCTAGTCAGGAAGCAGGTGGGGTGGAATTCAGGGAAAGATTCTTGAGAGGTATCTTTTACCCTACATCCAAAGGTTTGGAAGGGACAAACCGATATCCTATTAATGCAACCTCCATTCTGAGCACATCTGGTCCAAGTTTATCTTGTTTCCCTTTCCCAGCCATATTTTCTGTTCTCCTTGGCCCAGCCTCAAAATTATTCTCATCTTAGCAAGGTTTTCTAATGGATTTTAAAACTACTGGGAGGATTATCATCCTAAATCAAAAGAAAAGTGTTCCATGGCCATGAACATTCATTTTCACCTTAAGTAAAATAATAGGCTTTATCTAAGGTACTTTCCACTGCTAAAATACATATTAGAAAATGAACATTGGAGAAAAAAAGGAATCAATAAATGTGTGTGTTCTGACTGATCTACCAACCAGCCGTTCCCCCAACTCTTCCCTCTTCTCGGGCCTCCCTGTTCCCTGAGACCCAACAATACTGAAAATAAGCCTATTAATCCTACTATGGCCTCTAAGTAAGCAAATGAAAAGAGTTGCAGGTCTCTCATTTGAAATCAAAAACTAGAAACAATAGGCATAGTGAAGAAGGCACATCTAAAACTGAGATAGGCAGAAAGCTAGGCTTCTTAACCCAAAGAGCCAAGCTGTGAATGCAAGGGAAATATTATCAAAAGAAATCAGAAGTGCTACGCCAGTGAACACACAAATGTTAAGAAAGCAAAACAGCCTTATTGCTAATAGGGAGAACATTTTAGTGATCTGGGTGAAAGATCAAATCAGTCACATTCCCTTAAGCCAATACCTAATCCAGAACGAGAACCCAACTCTCCTCAATTCTATGAAGGCTCAGAGTTCAGAAGAAAAGCCTAAAGCTAGCAGAGGTTGGTTAATGCAGTTTAAGGAACGAATTCATCACCATAATATAAAAGTACAAAGAGAAGCAGCAAGTGCTGATATAGAAACCACAGCAAGTTATCCAGAAGATCTAGCTAAGATAACTGATGAAAGTGACTAGTCAACAGATTTTCAATGTAGATCAAACAGCCTTTTATTGGAAGAAAATGCTCCCTAGGACTTTCACAACTAGATCCAAGAAGTCAATGCCTGGCTTCAAAGCTTCAAAGCAAAGGCAGACTCTCTTGTTAGGGGTTAATGCAGCTGGTGACTTTAAGTTGAAAACAATAATTGTTTACCATTCCAAAAATCCCAGAATCCTTAAGAATGATGCTAAATTGATTTGCCTTCACTCTATATATGTAACAAGAAAGCCTGCATGACAGCACAATGGTTTACAGCATCCTTTACTAAATATTTTAAGCCCACCATTGAGATCTACTGCTCAGAAAAAAAGATTCCTTTTGAAACATTATTGCTCACTGACAATGCACCTAGCTACTCAAAAGCTCTGATGGGGGTGTGCAAGGAGATTCATGTTGTTTTCACGCCTGCTAACAACATCCATTCTGCAGTCCACAGATCAAGGAGTAATTTCAACTTTCATGTCTTATGATTTAAGAAATAATATTTTGTAAGGCTATCACTGCAATACATAGTAATTCCTCTAATGGATCTTGGAAGAATAAATTGAAAATCTTCTGAAAATAATTTGCCAATCGAGATGCTATTAAGTGTATCTGTGATTCATGGGAGGAGGTCAAAATATCAACATTAACAGAGTTTGGAAGTAGTTGATTCCAAATCCCATGGATAACTTTGAGGGGCTCAAGACTGTAGTGGAGGCAGTAACTACAGATAGAGTGAAAATAGCAAGAGAACCACAATTACAAGTGGAGTCTGAAGATGTGGACGCTAAATTACTGAAATCTCACGATCAAACTTGAAAAGAAGAGGAGTTGATTCTTATGGATGAGCAAAGAAAGTGGTTTCTTGAGATGGAATCTACTCCTGGTGAAGATGCTGTGAATATTAGTGAAATGACAACAAAGGCCTTAGAATATGACATAAACCTAGCTGACAAACAGCAGTAGAGTTTGAGAGTACTGACTCCAATTTTGAAATTCTACAGTGGGTAAAATGCTATGGAAAAACATGGCAAGCTACAGAAAAATCCTTCGTGAAAGGAAGAGTCGACTGATGCAGCAAACTACATTTGTCATTTTATTTTAAGAAATAACTGTCATAGCCACCCTGATCAGTCAGCAGCCATCAACACTGAGGCAAGACCCTCCACCAGCAAACAGATTACAACTCACTGAAGATTTGGCTCAGATGATCATTAACATTCTTTAGCCAAAAAAAAAAAAGTATTCTTAACTAAAGTATCTATATGTTTTTTAGACATAATGCTTACATACTTAGTAGACTACAGTGTAATGTAAACCGAACTTTTATATGCACTGGGAAACCAAGAAATTCACATGACTCACTTTTTATCATGATGTTTGCTTTATTGAGGTGGTCTGGAACTAAACTCTTAATATCTCCAAGGCATGCCTGTATCAATACTCTATTGCTAGAAACTGAACAATCTACATACACTTAGTGACCCCAAAAGCAGGCTCCTATTCTTGTATCTCTTAGGAAAACAGGCAATATTAATTTTGCCCTGAGCTTTATAAAACTGTCACAACTCAATATCCTTGCATTAAAATTTTATCAACTTTAAAACAAAAAACAAATCGAGAATTATACTTTATCCAGAATTACCAATTTCAATTGCTCCCTTTCAACTATAACAATGCACAATATCTGTACTTGTTCTTTGGGTATGTAACGTTTTTCTCTTAAGTTTTAATATTGCAGCTTTGTGATGAAATCCTAATTATGTAAATGAAAAACTTAGATATATATGAATCATTAATCAAAGTAATTTAATTGATTCCATTTTAGTTAGGAGGTCATAGGTACTGGTTCTTTAGAAATTAGAGGTAAACACATATCTAATTTTGTGCCTTGCCTGATAATTTTAAAATTTATTTTGGGAATTAGAAAAAGAGATTACTTGTGTCCAATTAGAAAAAGAGATTACTTGTGTCCAATGTGCAATACAAAAACTGTTGAGGAACCAAACAGCATTCTCAGCTATTCCCCTAACTTAAAATACCTCCATGACCTTGAAATTTTTGTTAGACAATTACAAAAGATTTAACTATTTCCCAGAAACATTCAGGTATAAAGACCCTGACATAAAAATGAAAGCACTAAAATAAGAAATATGTAAGATTACACAGTTTTGTCATGCAAAAAGTAAAACAAAAAACTCCTCCATACACTACTGGTATACTATTCACATGCCATATTGTAGAACAGATACAAACATATCTTTGTGAAAATAAAATGGTCTTTGACAACAGGAGAAATGAGGAACCGGGCCAACATCTGCACATGTACAAATGCTTCCTTGTTTTTGGAACCTTTCCAACTGACAAACGGCAGTCAAAACTACACTTCATTACCCAAGTTCCCCATAGAAGAGGGTAACATATATAAGTAAATGTCACATTGAGCAACTTTATATTCATAGAGTGCTTTCTGACAATGTTAACTGAAATTCTGTTATGCCTCATTTTAAGAAGAGCACTATAGTTCTTTCATATAGTTTGCTACCTAATCTTTCGGAAGAACTTTAATAAATGAATTCACACCATTTGCTCAGATGGTAAGAATTTTTCATTGTCTAATCAAAAGTCAGATTTCATTACTGATAATACAATTCTATCGAACACACTGTAGTCCAAACAAAATCCTCAAGGAAAGCCAAAAATTTGTAATTTGCGATTAATGCAATTCGGGCTTAGAACCAAATTATCATGGTCAAGCAGAGTTTGAGAGACAAAATTTATATACGTTAGAACTTGGATTTGTTAAACTTATCAAGCAGTCAGAAAATAACTTATTCCTGATTACCAAACTCCCACAGTGCATAAAACACATTAGGTAGGATAGAAAGTTTACTGCTAAGGTCTACATTTTTCTATTTAAAAAAAAATTTAAAATCAGATTTTTCAGATTGTCTAGCACAAGCATATAGTTTAAAGTAATACAATAAAATGTGATTTTAATAAATTATTTACAACTGAACAAAATGTACAAATACTTTTCAAATGAAAAAAGGAACATTTAAATTTAGAATGATATCAGTCCTAACTCGGGATTGGAGGCACGTCACTTAATTTTGCTAGGCTTTTAATCAGGATTGAATATATGACATTAAGTGTAAAACGTAGAATTTTTTAAAGTAAATATTAGTTAACGGTTGTACAAAGGCCCAAAACAATTATATATTTACTTTTCTATAACTGTATTTTTTTTAAAAAATTAAGTTGGTAATAACTAAAGAAGATGTCTTTAGAAAAGCAGCATGGTTAACTGCTAAGAGCTGAAAAAATATTAAATGCTTTCACTTTTAATTTTTAAAGCAAAATTTGTTTTGAATTTGAAGTGTAATATAAATCACGTCTAGGCATCTTTTTTAAATTTGGTTACAAAACCACAACCTACTTCTCGGATAGCATACAACTCAAATAATACTAATAACAATATTGTACATACTGACAGTATCTGAAAGCCAAGATTTCAGAAACAAAACTACTAACGTTGCCTTAAGAGAAGGTGATATGTAATGTATGTAATCAATATTAAAGATTGGAAAATTTGGATACTTTATACTCTTTATAGGAATACAATATTTCATAAAATTTCCATATTTAACGGCCAATATAGTATATAAGTAGAAAAATGAATCTTAAATTACAATGCTAGATTGTGAAGTCCCTTCCACCCCTACATCTCACTAGCTATAACGATGGCAAAGCAGTAACTTTTCTGAGCTTTGGTTTTTTCCTCTGTAAAACTGGAATATTTGTATCACCATATTCATCAGGGCAATCTAAGGATCAAAGAAAAAAAGATATGAAAGGTACGTTGCACATTCAACACTATGTAGTAAGGAATTATTTACCAAAGTATTTACACTTTTATTATTATAAAGTTCTGGGATACATGTGCAGAACGTGCAGGTTTGTTATATAGGTATACACATGCCATGGTGGTTTGCTGCATCCATCAACTTGTAATCTATATTAGGTATTTCTCCTAATGCTATCCCCCTCCCCCAGCCCCGTACCCCGACAGGCCCTGATGGGTGATGTTCCCCTCCCTGTGTCCATGTGTTCTCATTGTTCAACTCCCACTTATAAGTCAGAACATGCGGTGTTTGGTTTTCTGTTCCTGTGTTGTTTGCTGAGAATGATGGTTTCCAGCTTCATCCCTGTCCCTGCAAAGGACACGAACACATCCTTTTTATGGCTGCATAGTATTCTATGGTGTATATGTGCCACATTTTCTTTATCCAGTCTATCATTGATGGGCATTGACTGGGTTGGTTCCAAGTCTTTGTAGGGCATGTGCACCCATGCCCAGCTAATTTTTGTATTTTTAGTGAGACAGGGTTTCACCAGTTTGGCCAGGATGGTCTCAATCTCTTGACCTCATGATCCACCCGCCTCAGCCTTCCAAAGTGCTGGGATTACAGGCAGGAGCCACCATGCCCGGCCATAAATGTCTTCTTTTGAGAAGGGTCTGTTCATATCCTTCACCCACTTTTTGATGGGGTTGTTTTATTCTTGTAAATTTGTTTTTCCTTGTAGATTCTGGATATTAGCCCTTTGTCAGATGGATAGATTACAGAAATTTTCTCCCACTCTGTAGGCTGCCTGTTCACTCTGATGATAGTTTCTTTTGCTGTGCAGAAGCTCTTTAGTTTAGTTCGATCCCATTTGTCAATTTTGGCATTTGTTGCCATTGCTTTTGGTGTTTTAGTCATGAAATCTTTGACCATGCCTATGTCCTGAATGGTATTACCTAGGTTTTCTTCTAGGGTTTTTACGGTTTTAGGTCTTATGTTTAAGTCTTTAATCCATCTTGAGTTAACTTTTTTATAAGATGTAACGAAGGGGTGCAGTTTCAGTTTTCTGCATATGGCTAGCCAGTTTTCCCAACACCATTGATTAAATAGGGAATCCTTTACCCATTACTTTTGTCAGGTTTGTCAAAAGATCAGATGGTTGCAGATGTGTGGTGTTATTTCTGAGGCTTCTGTTCTGTTCCATTGGTCGATATATCTGTTTTGGTACCAGTACCATGCTGTTTTAGTTACTGTAGCCTTATAATATAGTTTGAAGTCAGGTAGCATGATGCATCCAGC